CCCCCCCCCAGCACTCAGACTGTAGTATCGAATTGCTGCCAGGTCACAAATTGCCTAAGGGGTGAATCTATGCCATGGGGCCGGCAGAGAAGGATGAACTGGGTCAGTTTATCGATAAGAACCTAGCAAGGGGTTTCATCAGGCCAGCCTCCTCCCCTTTTGCGGCCCCGGTGCTGTTCCAAAAAAAGAAAGACGGGGGCTTGCAACTAGGCACGGATTATCGGGCCTTAAATGCTGTGTCATTGACTAATGCCTACCCCATGCCCCTGATCAAGGATTTACTAGCCGAAGCAGCTAAAGGGAAAGTCTTTTCGAAACTAGACCTCCGAGATGCATACTTCCGGGTCCGCATCCGAGAGGGGGACGAGCACAAGACTGCCTTTAACATGCCCCTTGGCCAGTTCAAATACTTCCAATAATTCCATTGAAGTTATTGAGCTGTGCCTACGTTATTTTGGAAATTGGGTTCCATTTTACCAGCCGCTATTGAAGATCATTGAAACGTCTTGATTTATACCTGGGAGAGACATACGGCTGTTGTTCTTTCCACAGTGGGCCTCTTCTGCCACAGTTACTTTCTGTTTAGAGGTCTGTGGACACTATTTATGTACAGAATTACAGAGGAGCCTGCTGTTGGTTTTGAACATGTTCTTTTTGTAAATAATGCTTAATTGTTATGAGCAATCTGTTGGATGTGTGCTTACACATTCTATTGGGTTATGACCACTAACCCATCTTTGTATTTTAATGAATGTAATATACAGTTTTGATCATATATAGCTGTGTATTGTTGATGGTCTTCCCTTGGTGGGTGTTATTTGTGGCTATTCCAGGACACCAAGAAGCAGAAGAAGAAGAAGAAGAGGAGATTGGATTTATACCCCGCCCTTCATTTGGAGTCTCAGAGCGGCTTACAAACTCCTTTCCCTTCCCCTCCCCACAACAGACACCCTGTGAGGTGGGTGGGGCTGAGAGAACTCTGACACAAACTGCTCTTTTTCAAGGACAGCTGTGCCAGAGGTTGTGACTGACCCAAGGTCACATCAGCAGGTGCAAGTGGAGGAGGCAGGTCTGTGTGCAAACCAGATCAGCTGTAATGGAGCTGGATGGAGAAGCACGGGCTTTCTGATTAAATTAACATTTGCATCTGGGGATTATAGCTAGCTGTACACTTCTCTAAACCCATGGAATAAAAGAGGGTGAGATGAAGTAAAAAAACATACACCCAACTACAAATTGGATAAGTGATGAGGGTTCCTGAAAATGCTGAGAGAACAGTACTTGTCCTGAACTTAAGGTGATGTTCTAGAGAAACATAAAGGAGTCTCATCAAACAAAACCCCCCAGATATTTACAAAAATAAAAAGGTAAAAGCTGATGATAATTGGAGGGGGGAATCATACAACTGCAATTCTGCTGTCTCAGTCATGGATTTTAAATTCAGATCTTTTTAGTCACTGACAGGATACTTGTCTAAGTATTCAAAGGAGAACTGAATTTCCTCCTAAATCTGTCTAGTAATGGAATTTGAATTAAATAGGTAATATAGGGCTGGGCCGTGAAGAATAAAATTAATTGCCTGGCTTTTAACAAAAATCTTTGGTCATAATTTATTATTTTGTGGTGGGTGACCATTCACTTGTCAGCTTCTGTCAGTTTGGAAGAGGGCCCCCCCTCCCCAGCGTGGTGGTGCCCATGGGAGCCATGAGGCCTGCCACTTTAGAAAGTGGGTGGGCTTTTGCCCAGCAAGGCTTCGGATGGGCCACAGGACATTTGACTGGCCGTGCAGATTTTTAAGAACGTTGTTTTGGCAGCAGCTGCCACCACAGCACAAGGATCTTCACTGTGTGGCTGAAGGTCAGCTGCAGCAGCCATTTTATGGCTTGCTTAACCTCTGGTGGCAGCTATTTTGTAGCCGCCATTTTGTCGCAGTGCATGACATCATGCTTTGCCTGAATTCCAGAGCTGCTCACAGGCTCAAGAAGATGGGCGATACCTGGTCTAGGAAAAAAACCCTAAACGATCTCACCCTCCTTTCCAGCTTAGCAATAAATCCATCTATTTGTGGTTTCAGTCTCATTTCATAAAGACAAAACTAAAGAGGTTGCTCTTTGTGTCGCAGGCCTTTCCCTGATGCAACCCCAGAGCAAAAAAAACACTTCCTGTCCCTCCTTTGTCTACTTACTATTGCAGAAATTATGTCTTCAAGAGGCTGGATTCTTGCCCCAGTGACGTTGTTTGTGGCTTCCACAACTTTCTCTCTGCCTTGATTAATGAGGTCCTGAAGGGAAGTTTGAAAGTGATTAAGAGCAGCAGCCAAATGAGTTGCCCATGAATACAGAAAAGTTCCATCTGAAAGCAGCACAACACCAGGATACGTATGTAGCCAAACACAAGCTGTTGCGCCACACAGAGGGGTAAGAAATTCATGCACGGTCTCATTGCAAAATATTGAGGAACATGACTGAAATTAGAAGTATTTTAGTTGGAAGGCAACCCCTGTGGTGTTCATTTGACAAGGAGTGTGATAGATTTTATCAACATATTCCCCTGAACTTTTCCCCAAATGATCAGGCAGTATTGGTATGGTGAGCAACTTTTGCAATATGCAACGTGTGTGTAGCTTATGCCACAGATCAACATCTCACAACCATTTTTGACAGATCAAACAAGGAATCATATTCTTTGATAAACAATTCTGCATTTCTATACAATTCTCTAACATCCAACCAAAGCACTATTCTTACTGCTAGAGGGAATCATATGTGTACCTAAGGTATCCACAAAGTGTAGGAAATATGCTGTGATACCGGGGACGTAACCACTTACTTCCAGCTGCTGATTGCTCATTGCAGACAAGGCAGCCACATTGAAAGGGATATATGGGGTTTGAGAATTCAGGTTGGTCTGGAACATATTTGCTCCAACTGGCATGTTGAAACGCATAGTTAGCCCCTGGAAAACAAAGATGGTCTTTTTAAGAACTTAGAGCACCAGGACAGAACATGGTCAACATGAAGAAATATGTAAATATCACATAAGCAGCCCCAGACTACCCTAAGAGAGAAGAGCCCTGCGGCAACAGTGTAATACCTGGAAAAGCCAAGCTGGGGCAGACCTTGCCTTGGCAGAAAGCGGCAACACAGCCAAAGGGCAGCACTCAAGCTACCGAGTTCCAAGTACACAATGAACCACACAAGTGCGGGAGCCGCGTGCAATTCATGCCCAAACTGCTTCTCTACCTGCATGTCCCCTCTTGTGCCCCACACGCACATGCTTTGTGGGGCGAGCACCCAGGACTAGATGGTGTAGAAAAGGGGTTTCCCCTCCTGGAGCGGCTCTGATGTTCTGCACATGCAAGACTTAGGAATCCACACTGGAGACTTGCTGAAGCCACGCTCTGCTCATTCAACCAACGTCCAAACTGTTCTCCAAACAAGCTCAAATTCGAACACAGAACATCTTTAGGTTTGCTTTAGCTGGGCATGTTTGGAAGTGGCACATGCTCATTTCATTAAACTAAAGACACAGCTATCGGGGGGGGGTGTCCTACAGACTGCGGGACCCACTTTTAAAAAACTATTTCAAGGAATGTGCAGGTTTGTTCAAATCAAGCTTGTCTGATCACCACCCAAACATTCAGACCAGGGAACATTATTTTTGTCAAAACAAAGCCCCTTTGAAGAGTACTAGACTTTTCCAGTTTTCTTTCTGATTTGTGATTTTAACATAACCATAACTGAGCAAAAGCATTCACAAGTAGTAGCAGCCCAGTTTACAATGTGGCCCAGTGTGAGTGCAAAGTCCTCTAGATGAGCGCATCTGCCTCTGTCAGCATCACAATTTAATCATCAATATATCTATTCCTCAATTCAGCCAAATCCGAGGATATTTAAATCCGTAGACTGGTACCATAAACGGACAAGACAGATGCCTCAGGTTTTCAGAAAAATCTGAAATCTTAAAAAAAACAAAAACCCCACATTGAGGGGTGGAAGGGAAGATAGGAAAGTGAAGACAGAGGAGTAGATAAAGGTAGTTGGGCCTTGGGGAGAGGCTATGGGGGCTTTCAGGGAAGGGAAAGAAGAAACAGGGGAGGAAAGGAAAATGAAATGTTCTCCTTAACAATTAAGTCACACACGTATCAGCAGCAATACTTGGGGGGGAAGGAGGGTGCAAAACCCTCTTAAAGTTTGCAGCAGCATGTCACAATAATACATATAAGTAGAAGTATTTTTGAATCCTAAGTCAACATCCATTTGAAAAAAATGTATCCACCCTCAAAAGCTTATGCTTGTGGAGTATTTCCCTCCCCCATGTTTCATATGTTTGTTTTGCATTACAGACACCCGGGAGAAACTGTCCTCGGCCCCTCTCTCTGAAACAGCACTGTCAAAGCATGGAATGGTGGAAAATGCCCCACCTTCTTTTCTGCTTCATATTCTGCCCAAGCTGCCTTCCGCTCCTCTTCAGTCAATTCTTCTTCCTCTTTGTGGTCCAGAAGGGAATCATGCTCATGATAGCCTACTATGTGTTCTTTATGTATCTGAAGCAATTCGGCTAAAATTGGGTCCTGGTAATTAAAACGACAGAAAAATGCAGTGAATGGGAATGTATCTTCTTGACAGGAGATACCAAATTCTGCTGTTTTGAGCACACCATCTCCTTTATCAGGTCGTCTAGTCAGATGTTTGGTTGAGTTTGACTATCTGTTCCCTCGGGGGTCCAGATACCAAGCAAGTCCCTGAAGCAACATCCTACCAGGAACAAGACATGGAGGCTCTTGTCGCTTCCCCCCTAGAGGCAGAAGGAGAAGTGGTGGTGGTGACGGTGGGAAGTGCAGTCATGTCGCAGCCAACGCATGGTGGCCCCTCATGGGGTTTTCAAGGCAAGACACCCCCCAAGATGGTTTTGCCATTGTCTGCCTCTGTGTAATGACCCTTGGTGGTTTTCTCTCCAAATACTCACCTATTTAGCTTCCAGGATCTAATGAGATCGGGCTAGCCTAGGCCGTCCAGGCCAGGGCAGGAGTAGCCATCACCCCAACCAAATAAGTACCCTGCACACAACAGGGGAGCAAAAAAAAAAAAAGGTGGAGATTGGCCAAGCACCAGCCTCCTGACGGAAGGGCAGACCATTTGAGGCCTTTTATTCCCACCACCACCACCACCACCACCACAGGTCTTTTTAAAAAATCAGTAAGTGAAGAGCATTACATTGAGGTAACCGTATAAAACAGCATTGTCATCTGAGGGAGCCTGAGTGCCAAGGGAGGAAAACGAAGTCCATGCCTATATGCCGAGCTGAGACTGGGGATCCTGGCGTGCTTGGTGCTAAATGACAACGAAGCTACAGTCGGACTTCAGAAATTCGGTGGAATGGGGAAAATCAGTGGGACACTCTATAGACAGGGCAGGGATGGATGTGATGGAGGCAAGGCAATATGGTTCTCTTATCAAAGAGTCAAATAAACTAGAAAACATTAGGGAAAGGAACTCGTCCACAGAACCACTATGAGTGGAGATACTAAACCTTAACAGTTACTTAAAAGTGAGGGTGTACTATCACCCCACCCCCTCAACTGAAGCCAGGAAGTAGATCTTGAGATGGCAAGGGAAATACGGGAGGTGACCAAAGAGGAGAATGTTGTTGCACCGAGTGGGAACAGTGACCACAGTGCTATTAAGTTCAGCATTCATGTCAACAGAAAGCTGCCCCGAAAGTCCAAAACAATCAACTTTTGATTTTGAAAGAGGGAACTTTGCTAAAATGAAGAGACTAGTCAGAAAGAAGTTAAAAGGGAGAATTAAGAGAATCAAACTAGTCACACTGATTAAGGATCACACAGAATGAACACCTCAGATCAGGAAAGGTACCACCAAGTTGAAAAAGAAGCTGGTGTGATTAATGACTGAAGTCAAGGAAGCCACAAAAGGCGAAAAGGCTAAAGTGGAAGGTTTTCCCAACTGAGATGAACAGAACACAGCACAGGTTCTGGCAAAACAAATGTAAGCTGACAATAAAAAGAGCAAAAAAAGAGAATGTGAAGAGCAAATAGCTAAAAGCATTAGCATTTCTTCAAATATATCAGAAGCAGGAATTGGCCAAGGAGGCCGGTTGGGCCTTTGGATGACAAAGGAATAAAAGGATTACTCAAGGAATATACAGAAATGGCAGAGAAACTGAAGTCTTTGCATCTGTCTTCACTGTGGAAAATGTGGGCCATGTACCTCTACTGGAGCCACTGTTTTCAGGAAGGGTGTCTGAAGAAGTAAGTGATGAGAGATGACAATTCTATGATCACCAGGCAAACTGAAAACTACCAGGTCTGCAGGTCCAGATGGCACACACCCCAGCACTCTTACAGAAATGTGAAACTGTTGATCTACTTACCTGTTTATGCAACTTGCTGACAGAATAGGCCTCTGTGCTATATGACTGGGAAATACAAATTGTCTCCCCAATTTTTTAAAAAAGGGGGGCCAGAGGGCATCCAGGTCAATTAGCCTAATATCTGTTCTGGGTAAATTAGTACAAACTGTTATTAAAGAGAGAATTAAGCAAACTGAGGAACAATGTGTGCTGATTATGTACTAGAAGTTGACTAAATGGCAGGAGGCGGAAAATAGGAACACATGCTCAGTTCTCACCGTGGAGGGAGGGAGGGAGGGAGCAGTGGGGTCACATAAGAACTGATATTGGGATCAGTGTTATTTAATTTGTTCAGGAATTAGTTGGACATGGGGGTGAGCAGTGTAGTACCCAGGTTTGCAGATGATGCCAAACTATTCAGGATGGTGAGAGCCAAGGTAGATTCTGAAGACCTACAGGGGATCGCTCTGAAGTGGGTGAGAGGGCAACAACGTGGCAAATGACACTCAGCCTGGGTAAATGCAAGGTGATACAGACTGGAGCAAAAAAATAAATACTCATTTTAAATATGAGGTCTGAACTGGCTGAGGCTGAAATAGAAAATCTTGGAATTGTGGTGGGAAGCCCAATGAAAACTTCAACACAATGCACAGCTGTGGTGAAAAAGGCAAGCGCCATGCTAGGTATCATTAGGAAAGGGACTGAAAATAGTACAGCCTGTTTTATATAAAGCAATGTGTAGTTCTGGTTGTTGTATCTCAAAAAGGATACTACAGAGCTGGGAAAAGTCCAAAAGAGGGCAACCAAGACGATTAGAGGCTTGAAGCACCTTTCCTGTTAGAAAAGACCAGAACGACTGCGGGCCCTTTCGGTCCGGAAAAAAAGATGGCTAAGCGGAGACGTGACAACGGTTTATAAAACAATGGAGAAAGTAGAGGCAGGGAGTCTTTTCTTTCTCTCCCACAATACTAGAACTCAGAGACCTCCAATGAAACTTTTGAGAAACAGGTTCAGGACGGCGTGGGACAGCCTTTTAGTGGGTAGTCTCGTTCCTCCACCATCGGGGACAGAGGGTGCCCCGTGACATGTGGGGTCCCTTGGGGGCTATCCTCTCTCTGATCTTATTCAACATTTACATATACTCCCTTGCCCACCTGGCTCAGAGTTTTGGGCTGGGCTGCCATCAGTACGCTGATGACACCCAGCTGCATCTGCTGATGGATGGCCGGCCGGATCTCGCCCCAGGTAACCATGCTGGGGTGGCTGAAGCAGAGTCGGCTGAGACTGAATCCCTTAAAGATGGGGGTTCTTTGGCTGGGTGGGGTAGGGACTCAGTATTGGGGCTTCAGCTCCTGGCTCTTGAACCTACACCCCTAACACCAGCGCAGAGAGTCAAGAGCCTGGGCGTGGTCCTGGGTGCCTCCTTGCCAATGGAGGCCCAGGTCACGAATGTTGCCAGGCTGGCGTTCTACCAACTACGTCAGATTAGGCAGCTGGCCCCTTACCTGTCTTGCCCTGACCTAGCCACAGTAATCCATGCAACGGTCACCTGTAGACTTGATTACAGTAATTTGCTCTATGCAGGGCTGCCCTTGAAATTGATCCGGAAGTTACAGCTCGCCCAGAATGCAGTGGCCCCAGGTCCTCACAGGGACACCAGTAACAGCACACATACAACCTGTGCTCTGCCAGCTGCTCTGGCTCCAAGCCGAGTACCGGGTCAGGTTCAAGGTTCTCGTTCTGACCTTTAAGGCCCTGAACAGTCAAGGACCAGAGTACCCTGGCCCAAAGAGCATCCAGCTGTCCCCAACCAGAGCCAGGGCCTTTTCAGCCCTGGCTCCAGCTTGGTAGAACTCCCTGCCTCCCAGCATCAGGGCCCTGTGGGATCTGTTACAATGCCGTAGGGCCCCGTAAGGCAGAGATGTTCCGCCAAGCACACAGTTGAGGACAGCAACTGTTTTAACATCAATGGATCAACACCAATGGTCTAATGGGCAACAGCTGCCCACAGATATTTAGTTCACTAACTGCTTTTATAGTAAAGTTATTATAGTTAGGTAAAAGAAACAGTTAAAGCTGTTATAGTAAATTGGGAGTTAAAATTGTATTATGGCACCATGTGGGTATTGGGTATTTTGAGAATTGTATTTTTAGACTATTTATGAGCTTTATGTATTTTTGTAGGAGTCTGTTGTACACCGCCCTGAGCCTGCTTGTGGGGAGGGTGGTATAAAAGCCCAATATAATAAATAAATAATAGAATTCACTGCCAGTGGAGGTAACGATGGCCACAGGCACAGATACCATTAGAAGGGGGTTAGATATAGTAAATAATAAAATTAGTTTAATTTAGATTTAATCAACTAAAGGAGCAGGGAAGGGAGAGGGAGTGGGGAGGAGGGAGAGGAGGACCTTACGCAGTCTCCCTGTATCCAGCAGAACTGAATTCCGTGGAAATGTGCGTGGAGCGTGTGGCCTCTGAGCCCATAGCTGCACCGTCTCGCCATGGCAAGCCCCCTGCCCGGGCCACTCTTTGGTGCTTTGCAGAGCCCCTCCTTGCACGATACCAGTCCCGGCTGCATATCCCCCACCTTGAGCCCTTTGGGGCTGAGGTGTCTTTATCACCCCACAGCTTTGGCAGCTCCTTTGCCGCTGCTGTCTCCCCCGTCCTTCCTGCCTGACCGCCTGGCCACTCTTGGGGCCACTGCTGGAGAACAAGGAGCACTACACATCAGTCCCACAGTCCCCCTCATCCCAGAAGGTCACCCCCAGCCTGGCTAGCTGCCGCAGGAGGAAAAGGAATGAAGCTCAGAGTGGAGGGATAGCTTCAGAATGGGGGAGATTGGGTGGGGGGTAGGCAAATTGATAGGGGCACGGCTGATTCGATAGGGGGCACCACCCTTAGTGCCCTGCCGCTGGCTACGGCCATGAAGTGAGGTCAGAGAGGGGCTTTGCCTCTAATCTTTGCTCCACCATATGGTTACGCTCTTATGGATGTAAGAATGCATTATTTCGGTTTCTAGGTTGGAGGCTTCATAGGACAACCTAACCGTGCAAGCATCCCATCAATTCAAGAACAGAAAAGTCCTCTCAAACAACACGGTAATCAGCCTCAAGAAACTTCAGAATAATCAGAACAAAGTTTGAGTCCAGTAGTACCTTTAAGACCAACAAAGTTTTATTCTGGGTATATAAGCACATGCACACGAAAGCTTATACCCAGAAATGAACTTTGTTGGTCTTAAAGATGCCACTGGACTCAAACTTCGTTCTGCTGCTTCAGACTAACACGGCCGCCCACCCGAATCTATCTTCAGAATAATCTGCAATTCTTGATGGGATGCCCAGTAGCTCACAAAGATGTATGTTTTGTCTCAACACAGATTTCAAAACTACATTCTGAAGCAAAAGCTGTATCTGTGTACGGGTTCTGCTTTGCTTTTATGGAAGGAAATGCTTGCCGACAATATGAGAATGGAAGGCCTCTCAAATGACACTGCTCTGGTGGTTGGATTTCACAACTGCTGTATGTACATATCTATACATTTTGAAGATGGTGTCAACAGAGCAGTGCAAGCAAAACAAACAAACAAACAAAAAATCCACACAAGAACTGAATATTCTCAAACAGCTTGGCACCTCAGAGCCTCCTACCGCTGCCATTTCAAGTGCTCATGCTGACCCTATTTCTGATGTTCTTGCCCTTCTAACAGCACAAGCAGCAATTACACTACCATGTATGGCATGCAATTGTTTTTGCTCTGCAGCTCTTTAAAATACAATGTGAAGAGCTGTAATGTCACCCGCCAAAATGTGACAGTGATGCCATTCAGATTATAACACCAGCGGCGGTTAAAGCTACAGTCCTTAAACTCTGGAGCGATTCCTCAAAGTCAAGTGGACTAATCCAGAAATAAATAGACTGTTGCCTAACATTTTATGATTGACGTGAAATACCAGAAACAGAGCTGAAGGGCTAGAAGTTGCCTGAAGGTCAGCGAGTCCAACTTCTGGGGCTTGCAGGGATCTGCTGCATTAAATTATAGCATCTGGTCCCTGAAAAATGTTCCAGGAAGCAAACTCTGGGTGATGACTAGCATCTAGTCAAGTCATATAAATAACACTTTTACTTGCAACACCCCACAGTGATTTCATGGAATAGAAACAGACTCAAACCAGGCAAAAGAAAATGTATCTTCACGCAAGTAGCTAGCCTAGTGAAATCAATGCCAAGGGATATTACAACAGGTAGCAACAAATGTGGCTTGAGAAACTCATGCATTGCATTAGTAGCCACAATAATTAAAATAGGAATAGCAATGATCAAAAGCAGTAGCCCAAGTATAAAATCTTGGGCACAGACAACAATGGACAGACATGCAAGACTAATTGTTTTGCTGCAGCATCTGGTTGGATCCTATCAAGCTGACTGCGGTGCTCTTTCCACAAAGAAGAGTTTTTACCTTCATTCTTTCCAAAGACTGACAGCTAAGGTTTTTACTACTGCTGGTGCAAAGCATGCACACTGGCTTACTTTGGGCAACATGGGTGTGTCCCTTTTCTTCTTCTTCTCTGAATTAGGATCATCCAATAAATCTGGCTCAAAAGTATAGAGCTCCGTGAGTTCATTCATGGTAAAGTGACGTTCAACCTGCTGCTGATCCACAACTCGGAAAGACAGTGACTGCTTAGTTACTTGACGGTCGTAGATCTTGTCTTCCATTGTTCCCTTTAAAACAAACACACACAAATGCCACTGTCGGTATGAAGTCCATTTCATATCATTTTGCTATAGTGGCAGTAAAAATGCATCATATGAGATGATTCAGTAAAATTGGCTACGCATTAGAAAAGGTGCCACGGGACTCAAACTTAGTTCTAGAAAAGCAACTGTGAGCCTTAGGAATCAAATAGTTCAGCAACAACTGTTCTGACATAAAGACCTGACTTAATGCATTTCTAAAGGCAATTTGGAAAGGAAAGGAAAGGAGAAATACATTAGCACCTGCTGCTTGACAGCAAATGGGAAAGACATGTATAAACCACTTGGAGTAAATGAGCAGAGTATAGACTATCTATCACGATCCAATGGCCAACTGGTGGGCAATTTCTAGGGGCCCAGCAGCAATACAGGCCACAGATACAGAGTTTCATGCTTTGGAGCTGCTAGGATCAGGACATGTTAGTCAACCTATTGCTCTGGTCTACTACAGGGGAAGGGATTCATGCTCGCAGAGGACACTACATGAAAAGCTTCCCCCCTTGATGGATTGCTGATACAGTGCTTAGTTTATTACGGTCATAGACCAGTATAATAGAAGACAAGTAAATACAGTTACAGAAGCAGTAAAATTATAAAATATATCGGCATCTAAAATTATAAATAGGATCTAAAAACTTTAAAATACAGAAATAATAGAATCAAAATTTTGATTAAAAATTAGGTTTAGGCCTATCTGTCCTTTATCTCTTTCCTAGTTTGGTATGCCAACCAACCAAATTTGGCAACCATCCTAGTCAACTTTTGATTATCTCCTGCCAGCATAATTGACAAAAGTATCCTTCTATCACGACCTGGAAAGGAATTAACTATAGGCTTGATCAAATCTTCCCTGGCATTATGATATATAAGACAATCGAAAATTACATGTTCCAATGTTTCATCAGATCCCATCCCACAAATACAACTTTTCCTCAATGATCTAGTAAATCTGGCCTCCATTATGGCTGAGGGTAAGGCGTTGTATCTTAATAGGGTAAAAATTCTTCTATGATTGCTGATATCTAAATATTTGATGTAAGGTCTCACAGCTATCTTGTTAAGTGAACTTACATCAAATACAGGGCTCCTAATCCTGCTCACGTCCATCTGTCGTTCGACATCTAATATTCTTTGTTTTAGAACTGATCTAGCCCGATCGTGTCCCAAAGACAGAATAAACTGTTTTGAAAAACCATAACAGACCAGTTTATCTTCTATCTTTTTCCGCCATGAAGGAACAAAGTTATCTTGCATCATAGTATGGGAAAGGCCAATGGGTAAAAAAAGCAATTTTAACCAATAATAAAATGCAGCAATCCACAATCTTGCCTCGACCATAACCAGGCCAGCCTCTAAACGGATTGCAGCATTTGAAACGCTTGTTGGAACTTGAAATATAGCTCTTAAAAATTTCGATTGTGTTCTTTCAAGTAAGGTCAAGTTTGTCAGGAGAGACAAAGGAGCTCCATATAATAATTGGGGTAATACCTTTACAGTGAATAACTTAATGGCAGCTTCTAAGTTACGACCTCCTTTGGACCAGAAGAACCTTTGAATAGCTCCAGCGCTTTTCTTTGCATTAGCTGACAGGTAATCAACATGGCCTTTCATATGACCGGACGACTGAAATACAACTCCAAGGTATCTATAGCAACGAACTTGCTCAATGGTACGAGAGTCAATAACCCATTTAAACATCCTAGGCCTATTGGCAAAAGCCATTATTTTAGTCTTCATATAATTTATCTCTAAGCAATTCTGATTACAGTATTGCATAAGAGCACACATAGCTCTCTTAAGTCCCTTAGGGGTCCTAGAAAGCAAGACGGCATCGTCTGCATAAAGCAAGATGCATACAATGAGGTTAAAGAATTCGAAGAGTATTTGGAAATCAAGTGATTCAATATCACACACTGATCTAAACATGACCGTACCTCTCTAAAGCCTGCTTGTTCCTGTCTCAAAAGACCTTCCTGCTCCATCCAGTCTTTTAGCTTCCACTGTAAGTGTTTTGAATAAAGCTTACTTATTATACTTAGCAGACTGATCGGCCTATAATTAACAGGATCCTCTCTGTTCCCTTTCTTGTAAATAGGCACTATTATTGCCACCCCCCAGTCTTTAGGTATTCTACCAGTTCTATCTATAGTTGTAAATAAGGTAGCAAGAACTGGAACCCACCACTCGAGGTTCCTCTTGATCAGGTCTGCACATATAAGATCAGAACCTGGGGCTTTGTTGGAACTCAGGGTCTGTATGAGGTTCTTAATTTCTTGAGGATGCACAGGGGACCAAGAGGGTAAGGTAGCTATATCCAGGACCTCTGAAGCAGCCTCATCCTGACCTTGGTAGAGCTGCTCAAAATAATTTTCCCAAGTTTCAGGGAGAATTGTATTGCTGCACACTGAGGGAGGTCTAGTATTACAATTAGAGACCATATTCCAGAATAAACAGGGATTTTTATCTCTGCATGCTGAGCTTAATTGCTCCCATGCAAGGGCTATGGCGGCCTTCTTTTTTCGCTGTATCAAGGCCTGATACGGTGTATATGTTTGATGAGTAACTAGGCAAGCTTCAGGACCCAGGGTAAAAAAAAAATATTTTTTTAAAAAACTGTCAAATCACTACAGATGGCTTGTATTACATATATACACTATACATTTTATCTAGGATGACTTTCCTTTTAGCTGCAAAGGTTTAAGGAGTCCATGGCCCCAAAGAGACTTTAGAATCAGATGGCAGGAAAACATCAAATTCTGACCTACCTGAGCCAAGAACCGGTACACAAACACTGGTTTGATTTGCCCAAAACGATAAACTCTGAAGATACTCTGGATATCATATGATGGATTCCAAGAGGCATCAAAAATAATTACTCGATTAGCAGCTACCAGATTTATTCCAAGGGATCCTGCTTTAGTTGAGATAATAAACAAGCGGCCTCTATAACAAAGCAAAGCAAAACTTTAACCTGCTGCATTCCATTTACACCATTCCAGTTTATCTGAACAGCTGCTTAGCACACCCAGACTTAAAGACTGTTACATACACATTAGCTTGAGAACAGCAAAAAAAAAAAAAAGGCTTTCAAAGAGAGTGCTTATCTGGGTGCCTTTCAAAGCACTTTTAAAAAACATTGCTTAACTGGGATATCATCATTTCCTCTGCACCATACTGCCCCAGGATTCAGCCTCATGGTTGGTGTGAATATGTCCATTCACATTCAAAAATCATGGCCAGCCTTACTTTTGCTAAGCAGGAATAGGGAGGGGCATTTGAGGAAGCCCAAAGGGGAAGAGATGGGAGAGATGAGAGTAAGTTCACAGGAAACTCCCACCGCCAAGCCCTCATGACTGGGCACTACAAGGCCTGTACCCAGCCGACGTGAACTGAAATTCAAAAAGTTTTTCTTAAACTAGTTGAACACACTGTTAGAGCAGTCACCTGACTGGGGGACCCTGATACACTAAGCATACAAGTAGCTACCAGAGTAGGAAACTCACAATCTTAAAACCAGCATAGTAAAAATTTTGTTGAGCTTGAGTATCCAGCACATTTGATTAACCGGCAATCCGAATTCCCCATGACTGCCAGATAAAAGATTTTACTGTAGTTCAATCAAAAGACAAAAGATAGGGAAAAAGAATTCATGTAAGGACAAAGCACCTTGATCATATTAACTCATTCAAAACTAGTCTATTAGGATTCCCAGTGCATTTTATGAAGCCAAAGCAATTTGCCCAATGAGTGAAAATGGGATACTGTTAGATACTGCCATTTAAGCATACTTATGACATTTCAGAGTCCAACTCCAAACATGCTGGATTGCATTATTTACATTTTAGCCCTTAAGAAATTTTATGAACAAACATATACCTGTCTCTTTAAAAACTAAACATGGAAATTTAACAACAGAATTCTCCCATGTGCATCATAATATGAAACTGAGTCCATATTTATTTAAAATTTTATATTCTGCCTTATTTCCTGGCAGCTAACAACATAACAAGATGCATTACAAATGGAGCGTTTATGTAAGTGCTTAAGAACCAGAGAGTTTTTATAAAAGTTGAAAAAATTATAAATATGACAAACTTCAGTTCCAGGAAGTACAAATATGCGTTCCCCAAAGAAAGCCCTTTTAAAGTTACAAGAAGAACGACATGCATTTTGCATTCAGTGCTCACAAACAATTAGTAAGATGTATTTACTGCACTTATGTCCAGGAGTTGTCTAAACCAACCTAATATGTGCTGAAAATAGCAAACATACCACATCAAAGGGCAGGACATGCAGCAGGGTAACCCTATAATCAACAAACTCAACAGGAATCCTTTAGCGTAGCAACAGATGCCCTTTCTTCAATGAAAGCATAACATCAAATGCTTTTCTGCTCATTAAAAGTGGAAGCTCACAACTTTCTTTTAATTATCTTCCCCCCACCCAAAACACAAAGGGGTTGGGGGAAAATCCTAGTCACCTTTATTTAATTTAATAATTTTCTTCCTGGGAGAATTTTAACAAAAATAACCTTCCCCTCCCCAATAGCTTATTAGGGATAACGAGGAGCCCTGAGACTCCTTGAAGCCAGACCTCTTCATCAGAAGTAGTCTAGAACGCTGGGTACGAGGGTACAGATTTTAGAAACTCCAAATTTAAAGTGTGGCAAATAAGGTACGAGAGATATGAAAAGGCTGATCATAATTCCATGCAGAACACAGATGAATTCAGGGTTCAGACATATGGCCACTAATACGCATTCTGCACACTGGCAACAATGGGATCAGCTCCTCAAGTGGGATAGCCATTTTCTGCATCGAGTTCCACTGCTCCCAGTCCGAAGACTATGTGCAATGGTACTGTTTGCTAACAAATTTCAACCCCACCACTTTGCATTGAAGTTCCCGTTTGAAATGCAATGTTTCGTGTGCTCTAAAGAGATGGAAATGCTCCTCTAGCCATTCCCAAACACTGCCATTCTAAGTGTCTGATTTGTAGCCATTCTGTTTGATGTATGTAAGCGGGAAGGCATTTGTTGGTAGATGACATACCTCATGCTGCTGGGTGAAAGTACATCGTTTCTTAGCCTCCCAACAGTATTGCTTGTGAAGATTTGAACTCACACCCTACTTTTCCAGCTTCTATACTCATTTCTTTTTCCATTTCCTCTTTGTCATCCCCCCCCCCCGTGTCATTGCTTTTGTGGCAGTTTCTCCTTGCATCTGTAGACATTCCTTACTGCCATTCTTTCTCTTTGGCTGCTCCATATTGCTGGAACATTTCCCCCCACTCCCCAAACTGGCTCAGCTCCCCCATTCTGGCTCCTTCAAAGAACGACAAAGGGTATCCTTAACAAAACTCTCTTCTGCCTTTTACCTCCCATTTCCCTCTTGTGTGCTTACATGTGTTTACGCAAGACAGACAAAAACTGCATACCCGTGTAATGGGCTCACCAATCTAAAGGCTGATTTTCTGGCAGGTTCTGTCTGCTTCAGATTTCATGAAGCTTCCAACTTCCTACAACAGATTCATTTCCAGCAACTGTCACGTGAAGAATCAAGAGTCTGCACACCAGTGCAAATCAGTGAGGTGCAGAAATTATAATTCTGTAATGTTTGATCTCTGCATTTGTTGGGGCAGAGAACCACATGGAATGAAATGGCCAACAGAAACCAGGGTTAGCTGTTGTAGATTTTCCGGGTTGTATGGCCGTGGTCTTGGCATTGTAGGACCTGACATTTCGCCAGTAGCTGTGACTGGCATCGTCAGAGGTATAACACAGAAAGGTGGAGTCCTCTCTGTGTCGAGGTGAGACGAAAAATGGAAGGCAGATAATTTGTATCTACTCAGGAAGGTAGGGTAGCCTTCGACAACATATAGAAACCAGGGTGTTCATTAGCACTGCCTTGAATCCTGCTGATTAGGAAAAAAGCTGGATATAAATGTTTTAAATAAATAAACTGTTATAAAACGAACAAAAATATATGCTTAATGTTCTCTATAACATCCTACATTACACTCCATCTCTGGTGTGTCCTACACCTTCAACAAAAACAAGCTGCTTATCAAAACTCTCTTTTGTTGTATGTACGTACAAAAGCTCACCAATGGCAATGACTGGAAAGAGATCACGGAGGCAAAACTGTAACAGACTTTTAAAAAGCTCACATACAAAAACAAAATTTTTACCTGACATTTGTTTCATCATTAAATTCTTCAGCCCATTTTTTTCTCGACTGAGCTGTGGTAGAGCCATCTAAACGATAATAATCAATATTTCTGAACCACTTTCCTTCACCTGCGTATTCAAAAAGTAGAGAATATATCAAAAATACAGGAAATGGAAGGAACAAAATTAGATATTTCTGTAGACAGCAAACATAACAGTCTGAATACACACATAATATCAGATATATGCCCAGACGTATCATTTTAACTCTTCAGTTTTTAAAATCAGTAACTTTAACAAAACCAGGAAAACGTTCATTTTTATTGGAATCAGAAGTATAATAAAAGCAATCCTGTGTATTCACATTTAGAAAATAAACATCATTTGTTCATCTTGGTGTGTTCCTTCAGTAAGAAGAAACAATGCATGTCTGTCTGCAAGGCTGATCATGACCTCAAACTGTCCAACTTTTTAGAATATCCAGTTGAGAATAAAGCAAAACTCGAGAAAAGCCATGGTGCAAGTACAATTCCACAACCAGTTATGCATGCCAAATTCCTATGAGGCTCAAGAACGTTTAAATATGGCAGAATTGTCTTCTGTGCAGTCACAAACATAGATTCTGCACGAGTGCAGAAGGCAACTCCAGAATGTTTGAGCTCTAGCCCAAGAACAGGTGACCCCCTCCATAAGGTAGGGTACTATCTCTCTGCAAATGCCTCAGGGGGAAGGAGGGTAGAGTGAAGTCCTACTAGCAGCCCCGCCCTGACAGAGACAGTATGAGAGAGAGTCAACAGTATGGACACAGGCAATCTCTCCATCTCCCGCTCCTCCACATGACCATTCCTCAGCTGAGAGTAACAACGGGAGCTCTGACACTCGAAAGCTCATACCCCGAAAATCTTGGGAGGTCTCTAGGGTGCTACTGAGTCCCAGGGGTGCTTTGACTCTTCGACAACATATGGAACTTTGATTCTCAAAAGCTTATACCCCGAAAATCTTGGTCTCTACCGGAGCTTGTTAGAAGGTTTGGAGTTGGATGCTACCAATACGCAGATTACACCCTGCTCTCCCTGGACTCTGCACTGGCCAATCTGGCCCGTTGCCTTGAAGCCGTGGTTTGTTGGTTGAAGTGAAATCCATCTAAGACAAAGATCACCTGGCTGGGGAGGTCTGGACTGCCAGGGGGCCTTCGGCTTCCAACTCTTGATGGGGTCCAACTTTCATTAGTGGACTCTGTTAAGAGTCTGGGGGGTCTGGCTTCACTCCTCCTTGTCAGCAGTGGCAAGGATGGGTTTTTTAAAAAATTTGTGCCAACTGTCTCTACATCTATCCCATTCTGACCTAGCCATGGTGATTCATGCCACAAGTCACCTCCCGCCTAGACAACTGTAATGCTCTCTAGGTAGGGCTGCCCCTGAGGATAGTCCAGAAATTACAGGCAGTCCAGAATGCAGCAGTAAGATTACTGACAGGTTCTCCTTGGAGAGATCCTATCTATTTTGTCTTGAAACAGCTACACTGGCTGCCAAGTGAGTTCCAGATCAAATTCAAGGCGCTGGTGATTACCTTTAAAGCCCTAAATGGTTTGGGACCTTCATACCTGGTGGACCACCTCTTTTGACGCTCCCCCCACCCCAAAATATACGTTCTTCAACCTGCATGTGGTGCCTGGCCTCTGGGATGCACCAGGACAAGGGCCGCCTTTGTAGTCCTGGTAGAACAAGCTGTCAGATGGTACACGAGCCCTGAGGGACTTGTCTAAGTTCCGTGAGGCCTGCAAAGCAGGGCTCTCCCGTTTACCTTTGGCCTGTTTATCTGGGCTGCCTTTTAGTTTTATTTGTATTATGCTTTTAATTGATATCTGTTAATATTTAGGTATTGTTAGCTGCCCCAAGACTGCTTGGTGGCGAGAGGTAGCATATCATCATCATCGTCATCATGTGCGGCAGCACTGGAATCTAGCTGTTCTGCCACCCTCTGAAAAATACTGTGATGTCCTGGACAGCAATGGGCAATCACAACTCCCATAACTATCATGAAGGCCCCTGTTGCCATAGTGAATCCAAAGGGCAAAATCTGCATTGGTGGTACACCAGACTAATTGCAAATCTGAGACGCCCATCAGACCTCAGCACCAGACAGATGTGAAAATATGCAAATCAGATCTACAGGTGCAATCCAAATTCCTTCCATTAAAAGAGGGAGAATTGTGGCTAAGACACACCTTACAGAATCTGTCTTTGGTTTTATGAAGAAGTTCACACATCTGAGATCTAAAATGGGATGCAGACCCCCATCCTTTGTGGGTCCTGTGAAGCACCCAGAGTACAAACAAGCACAGGTGAAGCTAGTCAGCAGAAGGCAGTTTACCACAACTACAGCAGCTTTTAAAAGTGGTATGATGGGCCAGATTAATAATTCAGTGAGAAATTCAACCCAAAAACAGACAATCAGCCAAAAAACAGCAACCAGTCAGAAAGTCCATGATGGGTCCGAGATCAACACCAGTGTGCCCATGTATGTAGCAGGCTCATGTATTCAGCCACAGGGATAATTTGTTGGGGTATCTCTCCCCCCAACTTTGCTTTAGCTTCAATGGAAAACAGCCCCCTCCCCAGCTTTCGAACACTGTGCTCTCTAATAGGCTAGAGTGGACAGCCTCAAAAAGCATGCGTTTTCATCTTCACAAAAATTCACGGTGACCTCCCCGTCCTTATTTGACCAACACTGCTTTGGGAACTTGGGAGAGAGGGGGGAGGTTAAGAGAAGCAACTATATGAATTCCAGATATCCAAATTCTGGCATTTTTGCACTTGCCTTTATATATCACAGGTTTGCCTTCTTCTCTCTGCTGATTCACCAGCTCCAAAAAATCTTCTATCAAATCCAGTGATATCAGAGACTGACTGAATACTAAGCTGAAAAGGAGAAAAAAAGATGGAATGTAATTTCAGCATAATTAACTAGCGCACAGATTTGCTACACTTCTTATACTGTACCAGTTTGCTATGGGGATATGAAGTGGCCTGTGAACCTAAACAAATCATCACTAAGAAGCCAGGCTGGGCTGAAGGCAAAGAGTGGAGGGAGGGGGAGGGGGGGAGGGAGGGACCGAGAACTGTGCCCTGGGAGGAGAGTTTTGCAGACTTACACTTTATTCCCCAGCTCCTCAGCCATGCGAAGGATTTCAAAGAGAAGCACCATCTTCCCAGAATGCTCTAACACTTCAGCATCAGCTTCGGTGACAAAATCTTTGTACCAGTCTGGCGCTGGGCTGCCTGGGTTGGACGTGGAAGTGGTCCTACCTTGGGGGAGGAGGGGATAAAGCCTTGGTTTACTAGAGATAGTTTTTAACAGCGAGACTTTCCATGCAACAATCCAAGCCCACTCCTCCTCCTCCTCCTCACTGCTGGCAATCAGTACAGGAAAAGCGGAACACAACGGAGACCATAAAGCTTCAGAGTTACCTTGTGGGTATAGCTTTGGCAAGCTAACTCTACCGTCTTATAGTCCCCCTTTTTTAATATATATCACAGCATGGCTAGACAGTTGTGACCAGGTTAGATAACCCCTTTCCCACAAAACAAGATTTATGTCACTTGGGAGGGAAGGCAAACTGCTAAAGCACTGATAAAAGCAAGTATTTATTTTCAAAACACTTCACATACAGTATCTCGGCAATCTTTATAAACAGTCCTATAATTCCGTTAACTCCCAAAATTGAAAGGGTTGGGGAGACAGAGGCAGTGACCTGCTTTGCCAAAGGCAGGCTCTGAATTGGCTCATGATTCAGATTCCTAGCCACTATATTACAGCAGCTCCAGCTGAACGCCTTCGCAATTAGCCTGTCGGAAACGCCCTCATTGAGTCTGCAATCCCAATGCAGACTCAAAAAACCAACAGGCCATATAGTAAGCTGCCCATGTGGTAAGCCTACTTTGAGCATCATCACCTCAATATTTTCCTTAAAAGCAAGTAACCTAATCTTCAAGAGGATGGCATTATTCTCCAGTATCAAGCTTATAGTGGAATGATCAAGAGATACTTATGCACTCTAAATACTTATGGAGCAACATGCAGCACACAGGCACTCTTGCCCTACATGCACGTACTTCTACACACAGTAGCCTAGAGAATCAAGCAGAACAATACACACACCTTACAACGCCACTGTCCGGAGTTGCAGTGAGTGGGCTGCTGCTGCCCAGCTGTATAGAGACCATACCCATGCTGAGCGACAACAGTCAGGAAGGTTCAGGACCGCAAGGCACCATGGGAGTTGGGGGGCCTCCCACCCACCAGGAGGCAGAGACAAATTGGAAGCTACCACACCTGGCACTTGGCGATCCAGCAATGGTGCAGAGGCCTTGGCAGAGGAAATCCTACTAGACGTGGTAGTCTTGCAGGACCAGGATTTGCAGGGACTGCTGGGGGGGGGGGGAATTGCAGGGACTTCTGAAAGCTATTTAAGTTTTCCCAGCCAACAGCAAAGGAGGTGGCATCCGGTCTGGCCCCTTTCCCCACACCGACAGCCCAGAGAGCCAGATGAAGGGAGGAGGAGGGTGAATGTAGATCCCTCCCTTCCCAAGCTGAGGCCTTCCTTCAAAAAACAGGAGGAGAGGAGTGCAGCCCACCACTGTGCCACAGCCAGATCCAGGCTACCTCCTCACAATCACAAACGCTACAGCTATAAACTGCTGCTTACATGGATCACTGAGTGTCCTTGTCTCATCAGATGCCAAGTGCAACATGGGTTTATCTTTGCCCATGTACTCAAGTGTTTCGGGGGGGGGGGATTCTGGCAAAAATTAAGAGATGTAACAGGCAATTAAGTGCTTTCAGGTCCTGAAACAGTAGCTCTTGGTTGTGTTGAACCAGTCTTACAAAGAAGGACTTTGATTAAGGCTGCCAGAATGTCAACAGAGGAGCACCAAGGAGACAAAAGGGAAACACCTGAGGTGGTGGAGTGGGAGGTGGGAAATTGGAGTTCAACAGGTTTCAAACTAATTTCACTGTTACAATATATGAGGGAAGATTAAAATATACAGAGGGTTGGAAGGACAGTGAGAATTTCAGTATGTGTTTCTCATGGACAGAATGAATGGGGTCTACAAGAATACAAAGGAATACAAAACTGGTAGAATTTTTTTAAGCCCCCCGGAGGGAATTTTTTATTGCATTTTTTAATAGACTACAAACTACAACGAAAAATTGGGAAGGGATAACTACATCTAGGGAGAAAGGAAAGAAACCCATTACTAACTAAAACCCTTATATAAATGTTAATCCTAAATTGCTAGTATTACTTGGAACGTAGTCGGTTATGCTAATTTTTTTTATCTTTTTATCCAATGATTTAACTGTTTAAGGGAACCCCCAGAGCATCCCATAATAAAACTAAAGTTTTCAGGCACAATTCAGAGTCCTTCAGCCTTCATTTTGTCTTATATTTCCTGATCCTCAATTTATATGTACGCTTGGGGGCAGCCGCCCCCTTATTGGAAAAAGAGTCCTCGTCGGAAGACACCGAGTCCAATTCGCCACTGGATTTGCTGTCATCTTCTTCCTTCTCGACCTCGGCTATCTCTCCCAGCTGCACTCTCAGGAACTCATGTGCTTTGGAGACAGAGTCAATCTTTTCTTTTTTATCGTGTAGTTTGAAAATGACGCCTTCTGGAATTAACCATCTGTAGACAATGCTGTTTGTTTGTAGAAAAAGGATTAAGTCTTTATTTATTTCTCTTTTGCCTTATTTCAAATGGAGTGTCTATTAGAATCCTGATGGTATTGTCCCCAATTTTCAAGGGTGTTCCTGTAGTTGCTTTCAGGATAGAATACCTCACATATCGCTTTGAGAATCTGGCCACTATTTCCCCAGGCAGATTATTCTTTTTGATGTACATGGAATAGGACCTATAGACCACATCCATTTCACTTGCAAGATACTCCGCTTTCAAATCTGTAACTGGGGCTAATGCTTCACTCAGGAGTTGCTTTAGATTCTCACCTTTTAATTCTGGGACCCCTTGAAACCGTAGGACCAAATTTGCTTTCTCCATTTGCAGCTGTAAAAGTTGTGATTCTTCCGAAGCTTGTTTCTTTTCCAGCTTTTGCACCTTTTTCTTGACTTTTTTAGTGTTGGCGTCCATTTTCTTCACCTTCTCAGCCGTTTGCTCTGTTATTTTTAAAGTCTCAGTCAGTTGGAGCTGCTGAGTTGCAAGATTCTGGTTTAGAGATGTCAGCTGTTGTTTGATGTTAGTCATCTGGTCCAGCAGAGGGCGCAAGGAATCTGCCAACGTTTTGGAGAACTCAGTGACCTCTTCCGGTCGAGGGCTCATGGTCCCGGTTGGTTTAACTTTTGCTGGTTTGTCTTTCTCTGCCCTCTTCCCCGCCATCTTTATGGATTGTTTACTTTTATGAAAACTTGCTTTAGCCTCTGAAATACGCCCATACGCTTATCTGTGCGCTGGTAAGTCTCTCAAAACAGATTTCAATGCTTTTTCTTCCACTCCCCCCTTAGTATTTCGTTGTTTAGTTCATGCGCATGGGAGGGCCCCCTCCCTGCTCGCTTTTTTCGCCATTCCCAGGGGTAGCTTTCTTTTTAAATTCTCATATTCGCTTTAACCTGACTCACTGTTCATTGTTGGTCATACGACCTCGCTCGGCACACGTTCAAAACACTCGCTCTCCGACGTTTGTCCCGGTCAGCGGCTCTAGATCCATATGGACACTCAGCGGCAGGACCGTCGGGGTGGAGGAGTGCCTCAATCCCCCAGCATCACACTGGTGAAGAGGTCACCCCTCAAAAGCCCCATGGCTAGGAGCCTTTTGCCAAGGCTCCGGGAGGGGGGTAGCAACCCATCGCCACCCCTCCTTTCCGCTGGTGCGCAGATCACATCCCCGAGAGGTCCGGGAGATGCGTCCGCCAGCGTGTCGCCATAAACCGGATGTCAAAACTGGTAGAAAATTTAATGAGACAATAAGCATAGGAGAATTTTAGAACAAGCATTTAAGCTGCTGATCCTTATTACTAACTACATTAAAATGAGGAAAATTTCTTCACTACGTTTTTATGTGGACATCTGTTATATTAATTGTATTTATGGGCATTGTTATGATGGCAATATTGTAACTAAAAATATTGAGGGGATCTCCTGTTCCAAAAAAGAATCAGAAGATTCACTAGCTAGACCTGGTTAGTAATATGGTTCTTTGGACTGTAGAAGTGTTTCAATATACAGTTTAAATTTGATGTTTACTTTGTATAATCTACGAAGGGGTAGTAGATATCTGTCTCTAACGCAGTGAGTTCCAGCACACATGCATCTACAACCTCCTAATGACACTTTACTTAGAGGGCTGCCTTTATTTATTTTACCTACATTCTTTTGACAGTGCTTCAAGCAGCTTTAATCTCCACTTCATATGTGCATTACACACTCTGATTTATTGTAAATACAGTAAAAGCTACCTCCTTCTTTAAACTTTGATCTTATCACTTATTGCAGCATTTATTTCCATGGAATTCTTTCCTTGGTACTTCCTTACAGGTAAATTCAACTTTTAAAGCAAACAAACTGATGGGGATATCCATCAAGAAAGTCAGAAATAAACGGATATCCCATCATCATCTTTGCTTATAGCTGCAGAAGGGGAAAAAAGGTTAGGAAGAGTACAGAATTCAAAGGGGAAGAAGAGTAGCAGATTAGAAACTAATTCACAAGACTGCTCGGCCTCTTGAGCCATTCATTGTGAGGAAGACGGCATCATGTGATGACATTTTGATACTTCCTACTTTATTTTCCAGTACTTTTCCTAGTTTTTCCTTTGTGATGAAAGATACCTTGTTCCCTCAGAGAGTTTGATCCTTGTTACAATACTGTTTTTAGCTTTACACTGTTTATAAGGTAAACTGCTCAGAAAAGTACAAAACATACCAAGTGCGGATATCTAACTAAATTGTATGTGAATGTTTTGATACCTCTAATTTTACATTCCAAAGCTTTTCATAATAAATCCATAACACTACACAAGCTTTTGGTTGCTGCAGCAAATTGTGCTGATATGTTCAGTGGTCTTCATAATACAAGCCAGTTCCCTTGCCCCCACCAAGGGCCAACATCCCTTTTCTAGGACCCATTAGTGCAGGGGTCCCCAATCTTTTTGAGCTTGTTGGTACCTCTGGAATTCTGACACAAGATGGTGGACGTGTCACAGAAGGGCAGTCTGAGACCAGATGCCCCTCTCTAATCCCACCCCCAAAATCATGTGTGTACCGTACAGCCTGACCTAGCAGAAGAAACAAAACAGACCTCGTAAAAACAAGGTGGCCGGTGGTCAGAGACAAGCCTGGGAAAACATTTTGGAAGGAGAACTATGAGAGCTGACTGGCTAACAGCTCTTCTCCCCATCCTAAAAGAGATAACATCTCAATGATGAGTTTCTCAGGAAGACAATACCATGATTCCCCTAGCCCATTCACTCTAATTAACAGGCTATTCATACAACCTGATAGCCTCTCCCATCCTGTATTCAAAGGTCACCAAGGAACTTTGACACATTTAGTTTACATCAAGCAATCTCATCAAGGAACATTAGCCTTAACTCATGCAAATTGTTCACCCTGGGAAGACCACTCAAGGTATTGTCTTAGGGGCAAACATGTCAGACTGCCCTAGAGATAATTTTTCCTATAACTGCACACACTCTGACCCATAGTGTGTTCTTGGCACTAAACATTGCAACTCCTCCCCCGCTTGTGGGCTTTCTCTCCGGGAAACGCTGGCTGTTTTCTCTTGCTGCCTTCCGCAGACCTCACTTCTCCAAGACCTGCTAAATATCGCCTTCCCCAAATCGCTTTTCCCCACTCCTCCCTTTTATTTTCCTCTTAGTTTGTGCGCTACCCATGTGCTTTGTGCGTATGTTTGCTCTTTTTCTTCTTCTTTAATAAAAACACCTCTTCTGGTTGAACTTCCAAGGGAACAATCCCCATAAACATTGGTGGAAATCCCCTAGTTACCCCACTTGGCTTGTCTCTAATTACGCTAATTTCCCCAATTAATTAGGAGACTACTGATCTGGGTAACAGGTGTGAGTACAAAGCATGTGGCAGGCACCAGGAAAAGTGTTGGTGGGCATGAGGGCACCCATGGGCACCAGGCTGAGGACCCCTGTGTTACTACCAGTTTGGTATAGTGGTTAAGTGCGCGGACTCTAATCTGGGAGAACCGGGTTTGATTCCCCAAGCCTCCACTTGCAGCTGCTGGTGTGACCTTGGCCAAGCCACAGTTCTGTCAGAGCTGTTCTTGAAAAAAAAGCAGTTTCTGTCAAGAGCTCTCTCAGCCCCACCTACCTCACAGGGTGTCTGTTGTGGGGAGGGGAAGGGAAAGGAGTTTGTAAGCTGCTTTGAGACACCTTTGGGTTGTGAAGGGCGGGGTATTAATCCTCCTCCTCCTCCTACATATGTGGAATTCTCCCACACTCCTTTCTAAACATTCAGAAATCATCCAGCAAGTCCTTCCTTACCTTCTTCCACTTTTTCCGTGCCTGGAGGATTGCTTATCGGTTCTTCTACAATTCCTTCCCCACCTCCGCGAGATCTTGAATTCCAGACTTTAATCACTTCAACATCATTATCACTGCCACTTTCACCTGAGCTACTATCTTTCTTTGATTTTTTCCCCTTGGACTTTTTCTTCCTATAAAAATAACATTTAATGATAGTTTTTAAAAACCTGCTGGTATGTGACCCTTTCTGTACAGCAATGATATAATATACTGAATCCATTAATTACATGTTTACATGAAACAGTTGAACTTACTTGGTATACTCATCAGAGCTTAAGCTTACTGATGTTTCCTCAGAATCAGATGCTATGAACTCATCAAGACTGTCTTCATCAAAATAGCCCTGAAAAACAACAGATGACTTTACAAGAGGGATTTTTATTAAATTCAACTGGCCTTGCTCAAGCCTCTAAAACATCTGTTCATTTATCTGAACAATACCGAAGACAGTAAGATTATTTCAGAATACTTTGGTAATGACAAAAATCCTTTAAAAATGGTAACAGTCCCAAGTAAAATACCCAGGAAAAACAAATAACCAGTCTGTGCCTTGCTGTTGGACCTACAGAGGAACTAACTAGCCATCCTGCGTGAGACAGGATGCTGAACTAGATGAACTAGATGGTTCAATCCAGCAGGACTCTTCTTATGTTCATACAAAAAAAGAAATTTCCATTAATTCAGTGAAATTCTCTAAGACTGGGCATTCCTTACTTGAGAACTTTAATCAATGACAAAGACAGACAGATGTGATCTACCTTATTTTCTTTGCTAATATAGTCCAGCTGCAAGCACCAAGGATGAGTCCAAATCCTGCTTAACATCTGGAAATCCTGGAAGAGTTTAGCTCCAGCTTTGCCTCTCCCACCTTCTGTGCTGCTGCTGACACCTGATGAGAACATATAGAAATCATTACTTATTTCAGAACTTAAAGACAACCAATGTTTCATTTTAAGTCAGTATAACACAAACTTCTGTCATAGATGCTGAACAGAGGCCCGATTATTCACTTGACACTTTATTCCACTTATTTCCTAAAAATCTGTCACTTCTTCCTTTCTCACATTTGAATATCTGTAACACATCCCATTTAAGTTCTAACAATTAAATGTCATATTTGCCTACATAAAGTCAAATCTGGCTTGAAAAACTAAGAGAATGTTGTGAATGAAGCCATGCCACATTCTGAAAGTCAAATGTTCTTAAATAGCTCAGAAATATTTACAGTAACATGAAGCTGTACATTATTTATCTACACTCCAAGCTATAAGTAGAAAACAAGGTTGCACTTGCCTGTAACTGCTGTTCATCAAGCGGTCTTCTGTGCAGGCACACATGGGACTGCACCTGCACAGGCTTGCCACAGAGACCTCTTACTAAAGCTCCCTAGAACATTCAAAGTGCTCAGCCCCCTCCCCTCCTGACAAGGCAAGAGCTCCTTCCCTCGGTTCCTTCTCCCTGCAGTGGAAGGATCTCAAGAGTGCGAGGAGGATCCCACAGCAGGGAAAGGACGGAGGGATGTGTGCCTGCACAGAAGACCACTCAATGAACAACAGTTACTGGGAAGGGCAACCTTGCTTTCATCTTTGTGGCTTCTGCGCAGTCCCACATGAGCGACTAGCAAGCTGACTTACCAGCAGGAGGTAGAAGTGGGATCCTCAGCGAAACAAGGACTGAAGAACCACTTTCCCCACAGCTGCCTCCCCTCCGGAACTGACATCGACTACACAGTGCTTGATGAACATCGGTGGGGAGGACCAGGAGGCTGCCTTGCAGGTGTTGCCAAAGAAGGCTGCAGAGGAGGACTGAGACCTGGCCGAGTGAGCCCTGAGATGGAGTGGGCAGAGCATGTCAGTTGGGTGGCTCTGGCAACCCGGCTTGTGGTGGTTTGGGAGGAGGCTGCCTGGCCCTTGTGGGGGCCAGCAAAACAGACCAGCAGGTTGTCCTCCCTCGGCAAAAACATAATACGGTCTAAATTAAAAAGCAGTGACCTACAAACATCATTCTTTGTCCAAAGTGGGAGAGGAGAAAAACACTGGCAGAACTATGTCATGGGAAATGTGGAAGGTCACAGGCCTCCTGAGAGTAAGCAGGACTCTGCCTGGAGCGAGGGCAGCCTTGTTGCTTCTTGCCCGGAGGGTACTGAAATTAAGGGCGCAAGGAAAAATCAGAGTAAGATGTCTGGTACCGATAGGATTACACTGACTGCAAATGGACTGTTTGTCTCAGGAAGTAGGGAGGTTTGTGGGTCTGAGCAGGTGGACCAGTGATGCCAAAGAACCTTGTGGTGATCTCCTTTTACATATGGTCTGGGTATGTGTGGGAGCTGAACAGATTCTTTCCTTCAAAGGGGAGATCCTCTATTCTTGCCCTAGTATAGTTAAGAAGGGTGGTGCAGTAGAGCCAGGAGTGGCAGCGTAGGACTATGGTGGAAGTGATGGATCTACTGCATGAGTCTGTGATATGTCATGCAGCATTTGTTGTTTTCCAGCTCTAAGCCCTCTGCCTGTAGGACCTTGGCCACAACTTTGTGTTCTTCTGGAAGTGAATCGATGAACATAGCCATTCTTTCCCACAGGAACATTTGGTAGCATCCCATAATGGCATTAAAGTCTGCCATATGTAAAGTCAGGGCAGATGATGTGTGGATCTTGTGGTCCCTCCTGGTCAAATGGAGAGGCCCAAGGCCTGGAGTGTTTTTTGGCGGGATGACCTCCATCATGAGGAGTTCGCAGTTGGGTGGGCAAAAAGTAAATCACGGTCCTCCCCTAAAACCTTGTACATGTGGTCAATTTCCTTGGCAACAGGGGAGACTGATGCTGCCTTGTTCCAGATAGATTTGGATATGTCCAGCAATCCCTCTAGTCTCTTTCCAGCAATTAAGTCCATGTTGGGTGGGTAAAGGACCTTCAAAATGGGGTCGGATGTAGTCAGTTCCCATCAGATCACTTCAAAATTAAGAGACAGCCATTCAGATCAGTTGTTCAGAGTAAATATGGAGATCCTCTGCTGGAGAAACAGGCGATGGGTCATCAGGTGACAGTTTTGAGGGGGCATTGGAACTGCCTATAGAGGCTTTTCCTTGTCCGATTCCAAAGGACTTGAATCCATAGCAAACGGGGCTGACAGGGAGCATGGCATGGTCAATTCCACAGAAGGTGGTGGCTGCTATTCCCACTGCATAGGCCAGTACATGGGCAGTGCGTACTGGAACCACTGAGGAGATGTCAGTTCCCAATATTGCTGGGCCAGAGAGTCTCCCAAAGGTCTGTGATGCCATTTAGCTGCAGGAGCTTCAGCTTCAGGGGAGACTGAGGAGTGACCTCAATAACTTCATCATCGGACAAAGGAGACGGCAACTGAGTTGGAAAAGGGGTCCTGGGTCTTTGGGTGGGGGATGGATCCATTCCCAGTTGGGTGGAGGAGGGACGGGAAGTCTTATGCTTCAACTTCAGCTATTTCTTTTGCGCTGGCAGTTCCAAGGCACTAAGTGCCACCGAGTATTTCTTAGGAGCGGATAGTGGGCCTGGATCCAATACAGATCCTGCCGGCACGGACCCCTGGAAAACATCTAACCACCCTGAGCATTTCTGAAATGGAAAGGCGACATACAAACATGCCAAATAAATTAATTCTGGGGTACAGTCTCAATATGGAGCAAAATTTGAGTCCCATCACAACCGAAAGATGAAGAAAATTTTCCAGGGTATAAACTTTTGTCTGTCAAACCTCACTTTGGACATGGAGGTTCCATTTAGCCATCAGAGCAATCAGTTGACCTGTCTTCCACAAATGGGCCTAATAATTTTTACAGCCAGCTAAATGAGTGGCCATCACTGTAACTTTCTATGGCATGGTGATTTATCAATGTAAACTGCCCAACAGGAAAAGGTAGAATAAAAAAACATTTCAAAGAAAGAACAAATTTTTGTAGGATCGTTGTGTATTTTTGTATATGTCTAATTATAGTTTTTGTGTAACAGCTGTGTATTGTGCCAGTTCTGAGGCCTTCCAGTGCTCCAGAAATATGCCTGTCAGCTGCAGAACTTGAACATGAAGGCTAGAAAAATAAATCAGCAATAAACAAATTGATAAGCCTCATTGGGAACACACACCCCCAACCCAGCCCGGAACCAAGCAAAACAAAGCATGCCAAGCAATGAATCATAAGCAACGCCTTACCTGTTAAATGATCCAAGTAGAACTGATACAGTTTACACTGAAGAGGCGTCATTCTAACAGCTAGAACATACTCGTATTTGGGTGGCAGGAATTTTGTTAACGCTGTATAGTCTTTTCTCTGTAAATCGATTTTTAAAAAGAAAGTATGGTTATAAAACACAAAGAGTAAACAACAAGCTGCACGCCATGATTAGCTCTAAACCTAAACTACGAAGGACTGCAACTCCTAGTAAAATATTACTGGTCGCACAGGTATCCCGATTGCCCTCCAGAGCACCCATGAGACATACAGATATATATCCCCTGAGAGATAAACACTGTCATAGATCCTCTAGAAAACCCAGAAAGATTGCAAAAAGAGCCACTCTAGGCTCTTTTTAACAATAACAACAACTCTTATTTTACAGATCAAGAAGGATGGTCGTGTCAGTCTGTCTGTAGCAGGAGAAAAGAGCAAGAGCCCAGGAGCACCTTAAAGACAAGCAAAATTTGTGGCAGGGGATGAGCTTTCATGAGTCACTGCTCACTTCTTCAGATACAGCTAGATGTGAGTCCATCTGTCCTATATATTGGAAAGTGGAGTGATTTCAGATGGCGAATGACACTGGCAGGTGTGACTGAATTGGGTGCAGGTGTGGAGAAATATCTTCTGGTTAATCAGGAATAGTGATTTCTCTTTACAAAAACATGTAAGGTTTTTAGCTGCAAGAAACAAGACATCTATAATCCGTAGCAAAGCATTTTTAATTCTCACACTTCTAAATGATATCAAGATTTCACATACCTGAACACATCCAGCTAACATTTCATACAAGATGTGGGCCCGCTTTTTCATCACCCTGACATCTGCCATGGTAGAGTCTGCACACTGACCATTTTGGATTGGATTTATAAATCGATTTCGAAACTCCTTAACTGACCCAAGCAAATTCTCTTTGATAAAGTTAACCATACAATGATCTGTACAGAAAACAGCAGAATAATCTTCAGAATGAAGACCGACACTGGCAAAATATGAAGGCATCATGTGATTTCTGTTTTGCGAGAGATCATGGCCAACATTTTAAAAAAGAAACTCTGTACCTGCCTAAACAGGCACTTGGGCCTCAACACACGTGCAATAATGTTTTCACGAGCAGAGGTACGAGCAGCTCCCTGTCAGGCCCCAGCGTGAGTCTCTCCTCTGCCAGAAGCTGCCTCTTCCTGGTGCAATACTGCCCCTGCCAATCACCCCAAGACTCAGGCCAGATCCTTCATGGCCAAACTATGCCCTCCTGGCACCTGAACATCAAACAGGGGCCATGGCTCAGTGATACAGTATCTACTTGACACCTAGAAGGTACACGATTCAACCCTTGGCATATCTAGTTAAAGGTCAGTTAAAGAGATTCTGGAGAGCCACCGCTGAAGAGACAATATTGACTTTAATGGGTCAAGGGCTTGATACCGTATAAGGCCCAGGGCCCATTCTTCAACACAGAGGCTACTCCCATCAGAAGCAAGAACAGGATTGCAAACAAGGGCATAACGTGGGAGCCTGGCCAAACCACAGTGTGCTCAGAATAACAGATGCTGTGAATGCAGAAAACAGCACAGGATGGAATGCGGCTCTTCATCCTGTCTCCAAAGGCAAAGGACTTTTTGTAGTCATACGATTTCCAATGAAAGCATGAGCATTTTCAAATAAAAAGTCAACTGAGGCAGAAGAAAGCAGAATTCTATTTTGTAGCCCCATTTCTTGCCATGTGCAAGATGTGCTTCAAAGCATAAAGAGAAAAGACATCAGCCAGTGGTACAGCAATGCCTATTTTCTTCTTCCATGTAGATACAGCTATTAAATTTTATTTTCCTGAACTACAAACAAAAGACAGATGTTCAGGATTTGGTGCTCCCTTAAAATGCACTTACATTCTATGAGGTTGTTTTGCAAAGGCGTTCCCGTAAGAATGATCCTCCTCCTGGATTTTATAGAATTCATAGCTTTAGAAACAGCAGATGCTTCATTTTTTAAGATGTGTCCTTCATCACATATAACAAAATCAGGACCTGGTTAAAAAAAACAAAAACAAAGAAAAGCTATTTTGCCTCTAGTTTTATATTTGCAGATAGAAAATGTATTTCACAGACTTTACCTAGCAATGTAATGATGCTCAGTAACCACCTGTGGCTCTGTCCAGAAACAATCATGTATGAGTCTGGGGCATACCACTAGAACTATGTGCAGTCTTTTAATGCAGAGACACACTCATATCAGAGACTAGATTCAAACACTTATTTCCCCTCTTGCATTAGCCAGGAAAGGAGGAAGAACCATCTAGTCACATTTCTGGGTCCGCTCTGCCAATCTGCCTGCAGCTGAAAGCTGTGTAGGTTTACATGCACAAGAGACAGCACCCAAAGTTGCCCTTCTTTTCTGTTTGCAGTGGGATCCTGCAAGTGGTTGCTTACAAGAAACAGCACACTATCCCTATGAAGCACAGCTCAGGATTACAGGATAAAGACACTGAAAGAAAGAACAGTGAAGTAACCAACAGTGCAATGCCTCTAGTATTTTTAATATCCCTCAAGCAAGAAAGGATGAAGACATGTGGCACTTCAGAATTCATTAGATGCATGAAGTGGACCAACTAACTGGATTTGCACACACAAAGGTCAAGTCCAGTGCCACCTTTAAGACCAACAAAGTTTTATTCGTGGTATAAGCTTTTGTGTGCAAGCACACTTCTCCAGATACAGTGAAACAAAATTTCCTCAACCATTACATATAGTAAGAGCAGGGGTCTTTTAGGGCCAGAGCGTGCCGGAGCCTGTACCTGCCTGGGATTCCAGAAGACGCCCCCCCCCCGCTGCCTCCCAGGGGCAGCACCGGAGCTCTGTGGCCCTGGGAGGCCAGAAGACGCCCCCCCGCCGCCTCCCAAGGTAAGTGAGGGATCCGTGGGGGGTGGAGGAGGCTTGATTGGGGGGGTGGGAGAGCCTCCCCCCATCTCTTTGCCCTCTTTCTTTCCCCTCCTTTCCTTCCCATTTCCTTTTCTTTCTCTTT